AAATAAAGGCAAATATTCATTAGCATTCGTTCCGTTCGTTCGATGCGAACAAACGCGTCTTTCCCCAAGGAAACTTTCGAATCGAAGGCGACGCATGGACATAATTTTCCCCCTCAATACAGTCATTTGAATCTATCGAAATCCTCTATGTGCGTTTCCAAACAGGATCAAAAATATATTTTAATAGAATAGAATGAATTCCGGTGCATCGTGTGCATGCCAATAAGCATTCGCATAAATTGTGGCCTCTAAACCAGCCAATGGGACATCGGGAGCGTCTTAGTTCCGCATTATTCCATAGCAATTAGAGGGGGACATCAATATTAAATGGGCAAATCTGGATTCGTGACTCCATTATTGAAATTGTTAATCGAATAGAACATAGATAGTGGGGGTATTCCGATGTATAAATATGATTAGATCTTTGGGGGCGACTGATTGTTTGCCTGCCTTGATTGTGGGGAAGAGGCAAATTTCATTCTGTGGCCCTGGGGGGGGCCTTAGGGGGGCAAACTAGTTGAAATTTCTGACTAAGTGACATCAAAATCTGCTGGAAATGGCCGATGAGGAGGAGCTGAACAAGGTGGGTGGATTTTCCAGATTTTCAGCTGAAAAAAACTAGTTGCGGCTTTCGACCTTTGGAAATTCCCTGTGGCTTCGATCAAACATTGTCACCTTCTTTAACAATATTCGCGTCACGCCTGGGGGTTTTGGGGATTAATCCCATTGTCCCCATTGTCCTAAAACAGGACCCAACAGTATCATTAGACCTGCGGCTCTAGTGGGACGATAGTCGCCCAATTCCGAATGGAAAACGTCGGAAAAAGAGGTCCCAGTTTGCAAAATGCCGTTCATTCCAGAAGCGAGCCGAAACCCAAGGTGAGTGAAGCGTTTTGCCCATCTGGAGATCTGGAACATGTTCCAAATGCGATAAATCACATCGACAGCCAATATCTGATGGCCCATCACGTAAACGGCTCATATATAACATTTGAAAGCTAATAAAACAAGAACACGAGCTGCTGGTGGTGTCAGGAACAGGCCTGGCACCGCTATAATTGCAATCGCTTTTTCCCCGGGTATAAAACCGCTTTCTCGAGTGTTTGAAGAACTTTGTTTGCAAAGGCTTCGAGCCTTCGATAGTCGCGACCAAACTCCTTCCAAACATCGCGGCTTGTGCACAGTTTTACATTGCAATGTTGGTTTTATTGACTTTTTTCACGTTGCTAAACTTTTTCGGCGAAAAGTTCACGGGCAAAGTGAGGAAAATCGGTTTGAAGCTCTGAAGCAAACGAAGATTGCGGTCCACATGGACGAAGAATGGGGTTTAGGAGTCGGTTTTATTTTGCGGGTTTGTTCATATAGGGTGGTTTCTATCAAGGGAACGCGAATTGATGAATCGAACAGAGTGGTGCAATTTTCACTAAAAAATCCACAAAAATGGCTCGAAAATGCCGCTCTACTGAGTAGCCCCAACATTGACTGAACTTTGCTCTGTCAAAGAGTACCAGAATTATCACCGTATCTCTAACAAGTCCTGAGTAATTAGGTTTTGCGCAACTAGAGGCAACAGCGTCATATTTTACAAGGGTCTCATTAAAAAATTAGCAAAAAATCCAAAAAAATGTCATTTTAGTGAAGCCTACCCACAATATAGGGTAATATTTGCTATCTCGAATATCCTGATCAAATCAACCCTCTAGCTCTAACCAGTTATGAGTTGCAACTATGCGTCTACAGAAAGCAAGATTTTTTCTATCAAAGGACGGACAAATTAAATTCTTAGCTCAGAGCTGGTCTGAGTTGTTAATGTTCTGCCACGCGCAACTTTTTTTCTGCTAACGCAAGCGTCTTTAAAAATTCCCCAAAACTCACTAAAAAGTTCTATTCTACGGCAACTTTTCTGCCATGGGAAGCAAGATCTTCTCTACCAAATTAAAAAAAAACAAGGCCCAATATCTGTGTTCTTTCGAGTAATTAATTCGCCAAATATTCGCAAGAAACCGACAGGTTTGGCCGTTATTGCAAGCCTGTTTAAAAATTCGGAAAAAAGTGCTCAAAACCGCTATTCCAAGGAAACTTTTTAAGAACATAAGGCAAGAGTTTCTCTATCAAACTATAAAAAATTAACAATCGAGCGAAGCCCATCTCTGAGTAATGAATTTTTGAGCAAACAGCGCGACAAATTGCATTTCTCTAATTGAAAATTTCGCCAAATATCCATTAAAAGTGCAATTGGCAATCACATCACTAGAGAATTCACGACCTACTCTATTAAAAGGTGAAAAAATCGAATCTCTAGCTCAGAGCTATTCTGAGTTATTAATTTTTAAACATTCACTGTCGCAAGCGTCATTAAAAATTCTCCGCAACTCCCCCAATACTTGCATTCCAATGCAATTTTTCCCAAACTTGCCCCAATATTTTCTCTACCAAACAGAGGAAGATCAACCCTCTAGGTCTAGCCCACTTGAAGAAAATCACTTTTGAACAAACTACTGCAATAAAACGAAAACTTGCCCCTTTTACTGTGAACCCCCCTGTATAAACCTGAAATCTTCAGCAGCCCTGCTCTGCAAAACTTCCACTTAATAGTAGCATTTAACTTAAAATGAACATTCGAGTCTAGCAACAGTAGAAACATGTTCGTGCATGGTATTAAGGGTGGATACACCACTTCAGATGACGATTCTGATGAAGACCTCAATACCATCGATAATTTGCTTTTGGTAGCCGCCCTCCCACTAACGACTTCTGTTGAAGATGTTGATTTTGCGCGTTTCCAGCGAAGAAGAGAAGAATGCGAGCGAAAGGCGCGCAGAGGGGAGATGGACCCCCGGCTGGAGTTCACCTTCCAGATCCTCATCGACGCCACTGGTCTTCCGAGGCACGAAATTATGGACCACGTTTTTGAAGGAGAAATGGTACTCTTCAATTCACTAATGAAACCACCCGACTAACGTCCTGTTTGTCCTCTGTGCCGTCAAAGCTGGACGAAATCAACCAACTGTTTCTTCCGCACATGAAGACCAAGCTGGTGTGGTTCTACCAGGAGATGCTGGACACGGAAGCCATGGCAGCCTTGGAACCGAGCAAACCAAGCACCAGCAGGCAGCTGCAGCCCAGCACCAGCCGGATGAATCTGCAGCCCAACGTGACGCCCATCTACAAGAAGAAACTCTTCTTAACCGACGGCTGGGAGATTCCTTTGAAGGGCATCTGCATCTACATCTTCCGCACGAACAGCAGCAAACAACTGCCCGAAGAAGGCTTTCAGAAGGTGGTGACTCAGCCACATGATTATTTTTTAGTATTTTCCAACTGTCCTTCCAGGACCTGTACTGTGGCGTAATCGATGCTGCCAACATCGGAATGGTGGCCACGATCGAGCGAGTGATTGAGCATGTTTTCATGGAAGCGCTGGCTCACCCCAGCCTGGATTGCGAAGATGAAGCAGCCAGCTGCCCAATGGTGAAGAACCAGCTGCTGCCCAGTCTGAGATCCTTTTGCAGTGTGCTGAAAGGTTGCAAATCTAGGCCACGTCGCTAATGTTTTCAGTTGAACCAGAACATGTTTGATTAGTGTGCGAAGAGGTGGCGAATGAGGGCAACCTGTTTGACGATGGGCAGGTGCTGATGCGCAAAGTGCACATGGACGAGATCAAAGAAATGGCCAAGATCCCCGAGAAGGTGCAGCCTTTGGAGGAACGCGTCAAAGGCTGGTGTAAACGCCTGGACGAGATCTTGAAGGAAAGCGAGCAAATCAGGCGCGAAAATGATTCTTCGGGTAAGATCTTGGTGCTGATCGACTGAGGGATGTAGACGTGCCCCTCTAGGCCCTCAAGACGAGCTGGAGTACTGGAAAAAGCGCGGGGCGCAATTCTCGCAAATCGCCAACCAGGTGAACTCCAGAGAGGTGCAAATGACCATCCTCTGTCTGAAGATCGCGCGCTCCAAAGTCGTCAAAGACTGGCGGGAAACGGACAAGAAGATCACCTTTTGCTACAACGAGTCCAAGGACAATGCCAAGTTCATCCAGGCGCTGGAAACTAAATGCCACTCCCTATACCTGGACGATCCGGTAGGTTGGACTGGGCAACCTCCAAAGCCTCTAACCGCCACTTTCCAGGTGAAAATGCGCGATTGTATCATGGGGCTGTTGCAAACCGTGCGCCTCATCCACAACGTGTCGCAGTTCTACAACACTTCAGAGCGCTGCTCAGCTCTGATGGTCAAGGTGAGGATCGCAAAACCCCGTAAAAGTCCTACTCATCAGAACCTTCTTCAGATCACCAACCAGATGATAGAAACCTGCAAGGGCTACATCACCTGCAGGGGCCAAGAGAGCATCTGGCAGCAGGAGCGCACCTTGATCAAAGAGAAGCTCACGCAATGCCTGGTCCTGAACAAGGTCTACCGCAAAACGTACCATGTGGTCAAGAACCAAACCATCCTGCCCTCTACACGGCCGTTCAATTTTTCCGAGAACTACATCTTCGGGAAGTTCGACGCGTTCTGCAGACGCCTGTCGAAGATCATTTCCATGTTCGATCTCATTGATGATTACACTGGGCTGTTCCAAAGGCGAATGGAAGGCCTCCTGCTGGGCGACGGTAAATTTTT